TCTCCCAGCAGGCCTGGGGATAGGTTCCCAATTTACCCGCCCGAGTGTTTGATTGCTGAATGAAAGTTGTGTTTTTTACTATTTTTTTTCTTTGTTCACATACTGTTCTGTTTTTGACACTGCACACCACTCCCTTGTGGTTGTAAGCCGCCCTGAGTCCCCTCAGGGAAAAGGGCGGCATATAAATCCCAATAAAACTCTAAAAACTCTAACTCTAAAACAACAGATTGAATAACATCATAAGAACATATAACAAAAACATAAAAATATCATAATACAAACAATGTAACAACAGCTGTTGGCATCTCTTTCTTCAGAAAATTCAACTTGTAGCTGAATTCCTAGGAAATGGAAAGTGACACAGACCTAGTTTCTGAAGGGGAGACTATTCCATAAAATAGTGGTCATTATGAAAGAAAATACAGGAGGTCCTCAACTTACAACCACAATTGGGACAAGAACTTCATCCCTAGTAAGGCAGTCATTAAATAAATTGTGCCCAATTTTGAGACCCATTTTGTTGGGATCATTAAGCGAATCACATCAGTTGTTAAGTAAAGCATATGGCCATTAAGTGAATCCAGTTTCCCCAACTGACCATGCTTATTGGAAGCTAGCTGGGAAGGTTACAAATGGTGCTCGTGTGAACCTGGCATGTTGCTGATGTAAGTGAGCCTCAGTTCTATGCATTGGAAAATAGAGAACTACTATCAACTCTCAACTACTATCAAGAAGCTGAAGAAGCTTCTTGAATGAGAAGTGAAACGTCTTCAGAATAATACCAGAAAGTCCAGTTGCCTCTTGGAAAAAAACACCTTTGGGACAATCATGTCCTGGATGCCTGAGAATCTCCATAGACATTTATCAACTTAGTCTAATGAATCAATTCCACTTGAAGGCAACAGTCCTTAAGATAGCTAGGAACCAAGCCACATGGAGCTTTATAACTAGCAGCTTCAGTTGTATTCAAAAATGCACTGGGAGCAAGAGCAGGATCTTTAACATAGTTTTCAATGGGTGTTACTTGCCAGCTTATCATTAACTCCATTGCCTCAGACATACTTTGTCAGCCCAGCAACAAGGCTCCTTGTCACAGTCAAATTTCTTAAGCTTATTGCCATTATCCTTTTCCAACCATAGAGTTCTAACCTTTTGGAGTAACAGTATGAGAAGTTGTGGTCTTTTAGGTGGTTTTGTACACAACTCCTGCGCTTCCAACGGGCTGCATAGCAACATCTATGGAACTACAGGTTTCACCAACTGTATTCTATACCAATTTTGGATGGATAAATTCATTGCAAAGAACCAAGTCACTGGAATTTTGCCCTTTTCTCTGTTCGAACTCAGTTAAATAGCTTGATTGAAAGAATAGTTTCATAGATGATTCTAGCATAATACATCATGATTTCACAATTCACTAGTTAGATACTGATTCCACTAGACAGCAACTTTTGCAATAAATGATTTGCCCTTCTGGTAAATTGTCAATAGCCATTTATTAAGAATTTCCAGAGATTCATTGGGAGATTCCTATGAATAACCTGTGGCTTTTTAAAAGTGTCACCCATAGAACACAAATTTTAATTTAAATAAATGCCTACATTAAGCATTTCAAAACTTTTTGAACTAGTAGATACATCTGAAACTTTATTATATGGCACAAATGCTGGAAAAAATCTGCCTATCACAGAGATGGATAGACCTATATAGTCACAAAGTTATTGCTATCACCTACTCTGTTACACAGCACTAGGGATTCGAACCGCTGAACTGCCAACTTTTCTAATCAACAAGCTCAACATCTTAGCCATGGAGCCACCATGTCCCTTGAAAATAAGCAATGCAACTTGTCTAATGGATACAAGGAGATATCCGTGAGCATTCTAAAATCTTTATAAATCAGCATTTCTTCTAAACATTTCTTTACATGATCATTATTTATAAAGCTATATTAGCAGAGTTCTAGTCATTTAGAGCAGAATATTGCCTTCAATAAAGGGTTTTCTCACTGCTGAAATATAAAATAGTTGCTGGACCTTAATGTTTTTTCATCTTGGAGAGGTAAGATTTCTCTATCATTACTTCTTATTTTATTCAATGATCTGCAAGATTGCTTCTTTCTTTAGGCCTGAGTGAGTTTAAAAAAGGTTTGCGAATGCAAGAATTGTGTAAAGTAATGGTCTTAGGCACAGCTTCTACATTTGTTTCAGTTCTGTTTTAATATTTGCAATATACCGTAATATTAACTTCTCTATGATCTTATAGAATTGTTGCTTATTTTTGTATATCAAAGATTTCTAGAAAATCTCTTTGAGATGTAATATTTCTGTTCAGTCCCAGAAATCTTGGATTGAAGGTGCCTTCAGTAAAAGAGAATGTGCAAAAATTGTACCCAGCTCAAAAGATTCTCACAGGTACTTTGCTTCTTCTTGTTTTTCATTTGACCGGTACAAGGAGTATAGTGTATTTTGTATAAATATATATTGAACAGTGTCAGTATTCATTGTATAAAGAGAAACGTTAGACGTGTTGACATAAGACAAATCCCAAATCTTATTAGCACCATTAAGTTAATGCCAAATAATAAAAAAACATATGTTTTTTCAGGCAGAGCTCTTCAATAGTCAAGATTGTAAATGAAACAGTGGCCTGTGTGAGGGACCTGATATTTAAACCACAAAATTAAATACTATCATTTTCATTTCTGTAAATAATTAAAGGTGCAGCTATAGTTTAACTTACCATTTCTGGCTGTTTCCCTTATAACTAATATTTCTACAAACTAGATGGCACTTGAAGAAATACATTTATCATGGATTAAACACTCCTCACATATTACGGTACTTCCGTTTTCTGCACATTTAGATTGGCTTATATTCACTCAAAGGAATTAATACAAAGGAATAAAAATAAAATGAAGTGTGAGAGATGATGGATCGGTGTCCAATATGTTAATGCAGTTATTGTAACGAACAACAACTATAAACTAGATTTATTTGCCTGAGTTGGAATAAAGTTAGCATAAAGAGCATTGAATCATTAGATAAGGTAGTCTTTGTTTAGCAACCACAACTGGCTCTGGTGACTCTCTTAAGTGAAGTGGTAGCTAAATAAATATCAGGTGACTGTGACATTGCTTTTCTGCTGGAATGTGCACCTGGAAAATCAGCATATAGGACAGGGTCCTCAAATGATTTAAATGGGGCCAATTCACGGTTCCTCAGACTGTTGGGGGGCAGCTCATGGGCCATAGTTTGAGGACCCCTGATATAGGAGTTTTGGCAGTAGAAAATGAACCTTCCCATATGGGACATTACTGCAGTGAATCTGCTTATATGCTGTGGGAGGTGGCATTCTTGCCACCTGTCTAGCAGGCTGGAGGTGTATAAAGAAACTCACAGATACTATAGCTGGGGGCGGGGAAGGCGGCAGGAGGTCAGCTGTACCCTGCAGTGAAGCTCCTCTTCAATAGAAAGAGAGAGCTGATTTTGGTTCTGGGTGAGAGTAAGTGTGGGGGACAGGAACAAGGGAGAATGTCATATGAAACCATGACAAAAATTTGGCTGAAATGAAGGGCGATTATATCCAAAGTGTTGTTTTTGTGTGCTCACATAGAAATTTTGTCAAGAATGGAAATGAGATTTATCTCATATTACCTGTTTGGACAAACTGAAGTATTATCTTCAAGAGGTTTATTAAAAGCCTGCTTCATTATATGCTGTAACATAGTTTTAGGTGTTGTTAGGCTCAATGTTTAATCACGCCTGAGATATCTTTCTTCCCCTTTCTTGAATAATAGACCACATTTGTTCTTTACGTAGTTGGCAGACGTCCCAACAGCTCTTCAACCAATCTCTTCAATACTGGAGGGTGTATTTCATTGGGGCCTGAGGTTTGAAAACATCCACATTAACTATGAGATCCTTTACTACATCCTTACTGGCTGGCTTCCTCCCCTATTATATTTTCTCAGTCTACACTACGGAAAATCACCATGTTCTTTCTAAAGTCAGAAGGAACATTGGCATTCTCTCTGCTTTCTTGGTCATCTGTTAAGATTGCCCAGTTTGGAATAAGCACTGAGTACAAGACCTCTGTTTCCCTTGCTAATGACATCTTCAAGGAAACTTTTTTATTGGTTAAAATCAGCTGGCGAGAGACATATAAATAATATTGACATTATTTATATGTCTCTCTAGCTAGCTGATTTTCTATCTTTGCCTTTCTGACCTCATTGCTGTATTTTTTTGAGCTCTGTAAACTTCCTTGGCTGTTAACCCTTCCTTATATTTCTAATACACATCCTTATTTAGAGTCACAATGACTTCAGGACTCTTTCAGGACTTAAGCAAACTACTTTAATAAATCTCCCCCCATTGCTTGGTTGAGTCAACTATAGCAGACTCGTAGTTAGATATCCTTTCTATTAACCTATCCTTTTATTTTAACCCAGATGTTTTCAACATTCACGTTACCATCAGTCCAGTGGATCACTGTACAGGTAAGTTTATTCTTGATAATACAATAATCTTTAATTCTCTTGAGTTGCCCATTTTATCCAACAATATGTACCAATCAAGCCAAAAAATGTATTATTGTGGTTCCTTCCATGTTTCTATAATTCTTCTATAATCCTTGTAGAGGTGTATTAAGTAAATTCACTGCTCTGCGGTGTGTGTGTGTGTGTGTGTGTGTGTGTGTGTGTGTAAGAGGGAATAAAAATAGAAAAATACTGATAGCAATAGGCACCTTGAATGCAATCTCAAAACATCTGGAGCTTGAACACCATTGGCACTGACAAATTCATTCAGTCAATTGGCATCTTTACTTGGAACATATTACGTCCCTGGTCCTTGGGAAGTGACCAGTCATACATAATAATAATGATACTGCTTATATCATACCTGACTTTGTGCCCAATAACATGTAGTTCATAGTGTTTGTAATCCAAGGATAATATTGGATACATAAAGAAATATTTAACATAATGCTAAACTTTTTCTGCTCGGTCTTCTTTTTTTCCTTTTATGCCAATATTTCATGTGGTGGGTTCATATTTTAAACTCTACTTCATTTTGCTATTATCTTCAGTCTATTACCAATTTGTTATCAAAGTTTTTATGATGCTTGTCTCTTTATAGTCTAATATTTGAAGAATGGGATCTAAATCCTAAGGAATGTCATGCACAATAATGTACAGTTTTAGGCGTATTTATTAACCAGAATGTATATTTTATAATTATTGCATTGGGAGACTAACACAACTACCATGTTAAAATCATGCATAATAATTCCAACAGGGTAGTTGTGTTAGTCTCTTGTTGCAACAACAAAAACAAAAACCTTATGGAATGCAAGTACCTGGAACCCCATGCCACATTCAATGTGTCAAGTCTTTAAAGTACTACAATAACTGTTCATGTTAACTGATTTAAATGTTTCGTGCATGTACCAGCATTTTTTATGGAAACTCTTTTTCAGAGGTTCTGCAGGATGTCAAGTATGCCAGAATCTAATTCGGTAAGACCATCTAAAAACTCAACATCTGCAAAAACAAAGAATGGAGTATTTTTAAAGATGATGCAATTACTATTTAAGTATTCTTCAAAAGAAAGAAAGAAGGAAGGAAGGAAGGAAGGAAGGAAGGAAGGAAGGAAGGAAGGAAGGAAGAAAGGAAGGAATAACTTATTTGTCAGTGAGCATGTTATAGTAATGATTTACAAATTGAATTCCAAAGATATTAATTACTTTTGTCTTAGAAATGGAACACAACAAAAATATTTCAGAGAAATGATGTAATTGTGCTCCCCTCAACTTTTTTGAAAAAGAAAACAATCCTGGGAAAACTAGCTACTGCAAGAAAGAAAAAAATAGCATTAAAAAAAAGTCTGCCAAGTTTCCAATGGCAACTTTTTTTATGCTAGGCACAGGTCATGACCATTGTGCAAGATTTGAATTGCTATTAAAGGGATCTCTAAATATATTAAAGATTAGGGTAACAACTAGTTTATGTAGTTGTAAGCTCATTGCTTCGTCTAGGAAGTTAATGTGTAAAGAAGTAAAACATTGCAGTCAAAATGAGCAAGTTTGTTTAGATCAACCTAATGAGAAAACAAAACTTTGAATCCCAGAAATTACTTTAATAGTGAGTAAAGGATGAGTAGAAAGTGAGATTGTCCACCGTTTCTCTAAAAAAAAAGTCACAAATATCAATTTACTAAGATACATGTTGACAGAGGGAAGGATTAATTTCGCATAACACTAGAAAAGAAAGTTGTTACTGAAGATATCAGACTGGGAACTCAAATTTGGAAAACTAGCAGCATATATGTACAACAGAAGTTTAACTAAATTGAAGCAAAAATGGCTCCAGTGCATATTTTATATTGTGCAACAAGCCAAACATAAATACCTGGAATATGGTTTTAATACCCTTATCTTTGATACTCTTATCTTTGAAACTTCAATTCTAGAATAAGAATTGAAATCAAGGATACAGAAAAAAAAGTCTATGAACATTGGGTATTAATTGAATACAACAAGGGAGAAGTTAGGAACTGATATTTATCTAGTGTTCTAAGTAGTTTTTTCGTCTCTTCATTTCCTTTTCTTTTGTGTTCTTAACAAATAGAGGCGATTTTGGCTCATAGCTCAAAGACATTATTAAAATAATGTAACGTAACAATAAAATGGAATTTAATGGTAATCAAAGATATACTGAGCACTAACAATACAATCTTGGCAATTCCTTTTTCCAATCATGGCTATTATGTTTCCGTACTAGAAATATTTTTTTAAAAATTATACTAATATTAGTTATTTGCTGTTTTGACAAAATGGTTTGTCATCAGTTTTTTTTAACAATCAATAGCTGAATTCATCTAGACTCAATTAAGCAAGCTCTGGACAACTGGCACAATTTATGGGAGGGAGAGAGACTTCTGTTTTAGAAAAGATAGCTTAAAAATAAAAAACGGAGGCCTTTTCTTTTATGATTTTGCCATGTTTTTCATACATTGAAAGACGTTTTAAGCCCCAGAAACACACGAGAATCATGTACATATTTTTAATATTAAACTCTGAGCTAGTCTGGTGATTTAAGGTTAAAAAAGAGCACCAACCTTGATTGAATTAATACTAATAGAAATTCTATCTTTCTATTTGAGATGTTATTGTGGTCGGCTAATTGGTGACCACCATGGAATAGATTATGGTTATCCTGTGTTTCAGTCCGAAAAAGAAAAATATAATGTGGAATGGTCTGTTGAAAAAGATACAAAGATGAGTCCAACTGATGCATTTGGTACAATCAATTTTCAAGACAGTGATCACACTTACCATGCTAAGGTTTGTACAATTTTAAACCTGGATTTGTAATACTATTGAGTTTATTGCAGAATTCTGCAGAAGTGAAACTCTAGAAAACAAATATTAGTGCTAAACATAAAACTGTTGTGAGATTGAATAAAGAGAATCTAAGTATATAAATATGCTTTTATTTAAATGTTTTGTCCCAACTTGCCAAGCTGAATATCAGGAAAGAATACATATGAAACACGATGGAAATAGCAGTCAACACCTCAATTGTAATAATTGTAGAAAATAAGGAACATGACCTTGATGGAGATATTAAGGAGCTATTGCCTAGGCATAAGGTATCAAGCATTTTTTTTAAAGTTCAGAGCAGCCACATAACATTCAGAAGTAACTCAAACAGACATCTTCCTAATTTACTGAAATATAAGAAGCAGGAGGTAATGCACAATCAGACCCAAAGGCAACATGACCTTCTTGGTTTTTTTCCTTTAAAAATGTTTTGCTTTTGAGAAGTAAAATGTTTTCAAAGGAAAAAAAACCAAGAAGATCCAGTTGCTTTTTGGGGAAAAAAACACCTTTGGCACAATTATGATTTGGATGATTGAGAATCTCCATAGACATTTACACAATCAGACTTGCAAGATTCTGTTATAATAGCCAGTCAATGAAACTAGTTTTAGCCTTCTTGTTGAGTTGATTTCCCAGTCTGGTTCATCTAATAGGCTAGAAAATAATTTAATCAAAGCAGGGAAGACATTCACTCCCTTTGTGATGAATGTAGACCTTTCCAACCAGGAATCTGGAAAACATCAGTGAAATCATATTAATCAGTGGATTCCTGTTCTTGTTGATGTTGTGCTACTGGGAAAGGAAAAGACATCAGGTAGACAATTAAGATAGTGAAACATGATTTGAAGCATGAAACTGAAAACTGTAGGCAATATTACGGGGTTGAAGAAGTCTTGAAGCTTGGCGAGCTATAGAAATGACCTTGCTGCAAAATATGCAGAAATGATTATGAAAACAAAAGCTTTGTTAAGAGGAAACATGAGATAGCGCTAAAACTGGTTCCACTGTAATTCTCTGGGGTATTAAAAGGGAGAAGGGAAAATAAATTCTCAAAATTCTGTCAGCACAGCTATATTAATGGAGTATAGTTCCAGTCAAACTTGTAGAGTGTCTTTCTTTGATCTAGGGCAGCGGTCTCAAACTCACATCATCATGGTGTCGTCATATGACATATCATGACTTTCCCCCCTTCCTCCGACACTTCCCCCCAGGTGTGGGCATGGCCAATGTATGACGCATCCAGAAGTTTGACAGCCCTTACCTAGGGCCTACCTCATAGAGCTGGCAGAAAAGCAAGGCAATGATTAGAACTCACAACAGCTTGAGGAAGTTAGAATTAAGTTTTTATATTATTCCTGTAAACTTGTAGTTATCCCTGTTGCTTTTGTGTTTGGGCAACTACAGATGTTTGGTGTTTTTTTTTAATTCCACAGTATATCAGAACCTCTTATGACATAAAGCTAGATCAGCTATTGCAGCTCATGATTAAAGAATGGCGGATGGAATTTCCCAAATTGGTCATTTCGGTTCATGGTGGGATCCAAAACTTCAAACTTCCATCTAAAGTGGTACAACTTTTCAGCAAAGGACTGGTCAAAGCTGCTGAAACTACGGGTGCTTGGATATTAACAGAAGGCATTAACACTGGTAAACTTATCTATCTTTAATATTTGGTGGGCAAATGTTTCTGAGATCTGTGAACACTAGAATAGTCTTGCTATAACCCTGTTTGTTAAAGTTACGTATTAAGCATATTAAGACAATACCAGGTAGCAACAAGAACTGCTTGTGTCTGTCATAAGCATGCAACAGAGCTGATTTAAAGGGTGGCACTCTCCACAAATATATTACTTACCTCCTTGTAGCATCTTCTTCCAAGCACTCTTGGAGGATAATATTAACTTATGGAAATAAAGTTTTGTTAAAGTTTCGTGTAGGAGTTAAAGAGCTCATCCAGAAACCAGGAGACTGTGAGTTCTAGACCTGCCTTAATCTGGTCATTTTCTTAGCCCAATATTACTATTAAACTTAAATGTGCATCTATGCTTCACATAGCATTCTCCATCATATTTAACATAAAGCATGCGGGAAAATATTGTGCCATCTCACTCTTCAGAAAAAATATCATATATTACAAATGAGGAACCAATCCACTTTATTGTGTAGAAGTTTTACAGATGTACATAATTAAGATGTAGTAATTCCATCAGGTTCAACATTGCTCTGATTCTTATTTATATTTGGGAGGGTTACAATATATTTCATTTCTGTAATCTGATCATATTATAAATGTGTAATGATGATAATATGTCACCTATTTCAATGTAATTGTCTAGGAATATCTAAACATGTGGGAAATGCATTGAAATTCCATGCCTCTCAATATTTAAGAAAGGTCTGTGCTATTGGAATTTCCCCTTGGGGCATCATTGAAAATCAGAAAGAACTTATTGGCAAAGATGTGAGTTCCAAAGTGGTTTTTTTTAATTATTTTTTTCTTAATGAACTCTTTGTACTGTTGCACTGTGTAAGTATCAGAGACAAGGAGATTGGAGAACACTACTAATTTCCTACTTATAGTATATATGAGGATAAATATTTCTATTTACTTCTTTATGTAGTCACAAATTTTAGTGTCTAGACATTTATCCCGTATATTACTGGTTATTTACTAGTCATTTAAAATATCTTATTATTTATTTATCATATGCATCTTCAACTTCTAAAGCTATATCTCTATTTTAACCTTCCATTGTGAAATAGTTTGGACAGAGAAATGTGGCTGGGAAGCCCCCTGGTTTTGATCCAAATTCACTCCATCCCTTATACCACACAGATTGTCATCTAATGAGAGTGCCAGTCCATTACAATCTAGAAACTCACAATTATACCTGTTATATTTTTTTTTCCTGAGCTATAAACATACTTCTTTTAGAAATGAAACTTGGGTTTTTAAAGTTTGTATAACAAAGATGTTAATATTATAGGATGGAGAGTCCTTTCTTCATTACATTTGAACAATTTTCAAACAGCATTTTTTTAAAAAAAATAATTATAATATATTTTAAAGATAGGGGAACATCAGGTGAGATTTGTCTTTTTATTTGTATACTCCATTGAGGATTTTATCTTTCACATTTGTAAGGAAATACTGTATATTTCCATATAGAAAAATATACTTTGTTTATTTTTGTATGATTTACTGTGGAATTTATAATTATAAGGTGTCTCAAAGTATACAAAAAATATTTGGAACTATTTATGAATGATTCATTTCAGGTTTTAATGTAAGTACATCATTTTTGTTTTCATTGTGCAATGTAAGATACCATTTGAATTTTTATATTTCTGCACAGAAAATTAATCAATCATGATAAACCTCACAAACTACATAGCTTCTTATGAGGATGAGCAAAGAATTGTATTAAGGTTCATAATTGAAAAAGGATAACTTTTGTTTCTCTGCTAGGTATCAGGGGACTGATATTAAGCATGGATAATATTCCATGGTCTTCCTGAACTACAAATGTTTGTTTGCAGTCCATCTTAATGGCTGTGAAATATTACTGTTTTTTAATTTTTGTGTCTCATTAGGTAGTCTGCCTGTATCAGACACTTGGCAATCCCCTTAGCAAACTGAGCACCCTCAACAGCATGCATTCCCATTTCATACTGGTTGATGATGGCACAATGGGCAAGTATGGCAGTGAGATGAAACTCAGGAGAAGTCTGGAAAAGTATCTATCACTTCAAAAAATACATACCCGTAAGAAATTCTCATTCTTTATTACTTCTGTGAGAACCTCTTTTAATGGTGCACTTTTCTAATTGATCTTGTGGGGATAGAGGGATTATGTATTTTGACAACCCTACCCCTACCCCTACTCCTACACTACCCCTACCCCTACCTATACCCCTACCCTACTCTACCCTAGGGGTAGAGATGTTTATCCCCTACCCCAATCCAAACCTGAACCCCAACCCCAACCCTACCCCTAATCCTAACCCCAACACCAAATCCCAAATCCCAACCCTAACCACAACCCCAACCCCACTCCAACTCCAACTCCAACTCCAACTCCAACTCCAACTCCAACTCTAACTAACTCTAACTCTAACTCTAACTCTAACTCTAACTCTAACCCTTTTAATGAAGTAGTTTTATTGGTCTTACAATGTTTTTTATTAGTAATGTCTTAATATTTCTGTTCTTTTTAAATTAACATACCATTACTATGTATATAATTGTCAATGTAGTCATTAAAACATTTAAAGTTCATACTGGAAGAAAAAGCATCTTCTGATGAAAAGCTTGTCATAGGGAAGATACTCTTTATTAAACAAAAAGGAAATATAATTCTTGATTCTGAAAGTAGCTGTTATTCATATCCACATTCATCCCACTGAACAAAGGAAACCAGTTCACTTATTAAAATGTGCCATTTTTATCAAGACAGAAGTCTTCAGTTTGTTGTTGTTGTTAAGTTGCAAAGTCGTGTCCAATCCATCATGACCTCATGGACAACATTCCTCCAGGCCTTCCTGTCCCCTACCATCCCCTGGAGTCCATTTAAGCTCACACCGACTGCTTCAGTGACACCCTCCAGTCACCTCATTCTCTGTCGTCACCCTTCTTCTTTCTCAATCTTTCCCAGCATTAGGCTCTTCTCAAGTTTACAGTTCTTCTAACATTTTGTAACATGAGAAACGTTATGATTTCAATCCTGTCATAGGAACATATTTCAATGAGTACTGAATGCCCTAAATTAATGGTTGCAATTTCTGTGTGATTTGAAACAGGAATGGGACAAGGTGTACCCTTAGTTGGTCTACTGGTAGAAGGCGGTCCCAATGAAATCCTGACAGTCTGGGAATATGTCAGGGATACACCTGCTGTTCCGGTAGTAATATGTGAAGGAACCGGAAGAGCAGCTGACCTGCTTGCATTTACCTATAAACACACCACAGATGACACGTGAGTATTTGCATGACATTCCTTCAAATATCAAATGAAAAAATAGTGCTCCAAAATAAGCAGCTCAAATCTTTAAATAATTCTTGAAATAGTATTTCATAAGACAACCTCTGTCTAAAACATATTTGGTTGTAAGTAGTCTTTGACTTATGACCACGATGGAGCTCAAACTTTCTTTTGCTAAGAGAGACAGTTGCTAAGTGAGTTTTGCCCCATTTTATGATCTTTTTTGCCCTTGTTGTTAAGCAAATCACTGCAGCCATTAAGTGACTCACACTGTTGTTAAGCAAATTCAGCTTCCCGCATCGAAATTCCTTGCTGGAAACCTCCTGCAAGGGTACAAATCATACAGCCCAACCTTCACAAATGCCTTTGCCAAACATCTGAATTTTGATCACATGGGGATGCTTCCATGATCATAAGTGTGAAAAACAACCATAAGTCACTTTTTTTCAGTGCCATTGTAATGTTGAAAGGCTATTAAATGAATGGTTATAAGACAAAGTCTATTTAGGAGAAGTACAGTGTAACAAGCATTGCTGGGGCTATTGGAAAATGTTTACGCTGATAGGGAACAAGGCAAGATGCATGTAATGAACTGATATCTGTTAGACCATTCATTTTCCTCTCAGAAACTGGAACGCTCAACTTAAGGAAAAGATATTATTAAAGATTCAGAACAGCTTCAGTTTTGGGCAAAAGCAGTCCCATCATTTGTTGAAAATTTTAATGGAATGTATGGAACATAGGGATTCTGTAAGTATCCTGATTTCATGATATCTCTTTATTAATCCCATCCTCTTCCCTGTCACCGAATTATTATTCATACCAAGATGCTGTTTAATTAATATTATTAATGGAAAAAATAAGAATTAATAATTATTAATATGTCGTAATTATTATTATAAACTTCAAGATAAGGTTGGACATTATGCACCAATTATATAAACCAGTAATCCTTACATTTTTCTTTCTCTCTTCTCCCACAAACAAAAGTAGTTTCACAATACATTTTGATCAATTGCAGTAGGATATTTATCTGGAGCACATATGAAAAAATCTATTGAATTATCATTTAGTCAGTCATAGATCCTATGCCGTTTTGTCTCAGTTTGCATGTTTGTGCCCATATTTTACAGTATTTTTCAATACAGTGTTCATAATAAGTTCATTCTGCAATAAAGTACATTTTTGTACAATTCTAATATGCACAATTTTATGCATCATATCTCCCTAATATTATGCACTTTTGTGGTAATACCCATTGTAATACTTGCATAGCAATACTTGTTCTTACACTTTTTCCTTGGTTGGCGTACTTTGGGAAAATCCTTTGATTGCTACAATTTGTATATTAGTTTGCATATTGATATTGGAATCACAAATTATGATAATGTGGCTTAAAATATGAAATGACTAAGTGCCCATCATTCTTTCCTTGGATGCGCTATGAAATGATTTGAAGTCTTCCTTTATATATGCAAACTCCATCTGTCTTCAGCATTCGCTTCCTATTCTTCACACAGCTGAACACCCCTGTCTTAGATATCTCTCTGCCATGCCAACTTCAGCTTATTTCTTCTGATCTTATTGTCATATTTTTCAGGGCACTGATTCCCTTCCTTCCTGTCAATCTTTTTCTCTATAACTTAGCAGATCTTAGAAATCATCTAATGGTGTTCACTTTTCTTTCCTTTGGTAACTTATGTTATTCTTTGGCAGATAACAATATTTGATGCTGAATCAGAGGAGCATCAGGACATGGATCTCGCAATCCTGACTGCACTCTTGAAAGGTACTTTATATCATTTTTTTCTCATATACTTCCAAAATCAAATCAGGAAGTAGAAGTTACATTATTCCAGGTATAAAACTTAACACAGAATGTGTTTATTCCTAGGCACACATATGTCTGCTCCAGATCAGCTCAATCTGGCTCTGGCTTGGAACAGATTGGACATTGCTAAAAAACATATATTGGTTTATGGGCAACACTGGAAGGTAAATTTCATATTTAATTTCTTTCTGTTGCATATGACTACCATCAGTTCTGCTTTTATGCGTTGCTTTATTTGTCTTAACTTACCTATGGTGCATCTTGTATCTGAATTGCCATCAGCACTGTGATAACATTAACAAAAATTTGCATTCCCCATATTGTGTATTAAGGTTGGCTCCCTTGAACAAGCAATGCAGGATGCCCTCATAATGGATCGGGTAGAATTTGTGAAATTGCTAATAGAACATGGTGTGAATCTACACCGGTTCCTTACAATATCACGGCTGGAAGAGCTTTACAATACTGTGAGTGCCTGAAATTCTGATTTGCTTTTAATAATGACAAATGGCTTTTAAACAATAGAATCGAAGAAACAAAACAGTACCACAGCTTTCATCATTACTGTATAAATAGATTGCAGGATACAAAGAACCATAAAAATATTAGGTTCTTGAAATGTATAGATTCCTAGGAAAAAAAATTTCTTTAACTGAGGGGGAAGTAAAAACATGCCCTAAATAGCTAAAACATATATTAAATGTATAGTAATCACTGGGGTTTTAAAATATTATATTATTATACAATAGAGGAAAAAAACCCCAAAATTTGGCTTGTTATATTGTGACTTCTGATTTAGCCTTAAGAATAATTTTGTTCCATTGCCAATTTTGTTCTAATGAACAGCTCTATTTTGTTTTGTGTGACATCTATACCCCCATGTTATATAAAATGGTAGAGGGAATTGGGCAAAACTAATAAAAGACTCCAATGTTAACAATCTCTATTCTTTTCAGCATTTGGAAAGCGACTCAGGCCACCTGAAGATTGTGAAACAATAATTTTAAAAATCCTTGAAAAATAATAACGCAGGATATAAATAAGCAATGTATTTGAAAAAGATTAAGATGAATCTTGGTTATTTTTAAATAAAAAAGAAACAAGGAAACTCCCAAATTTTACACTATTCTTTCCCCCACCTCTCTTGAGTTGAAAACCAAAGTCAAATAGTCTTCCTGAATTCATTCTGCCTGGCCATTTTTTAGATTCTGAGGTCCAGAATGTGATCTCAGTCCCAATAATTGCTTTCTCTTTTGAAGAATACTTTTTGACTATCACACACTGAAATTTTGCAAGTTCTTGTAAAAGAAATTTGACATCTTGTGAGATTCTGAACTTTTCACACAATTTCTTCATGAAAGTCTCTCAAAAGCTTTTGAAAGTTCATGAACAATTACAGAAATGCTGTAATTAAATATTATTTTTTAGTGATATTTATTCATGCTATTCATTTTTTATTTATTTCTACATTCCAGAAACAAGGGCCAACAAATCTACTTTTGCATCATCTTCTTTGTGACGTGAAACAGGTAAATTCCCTTCTTAAATACGAAGAACATAGGCAGTAATTTATCCCTATTTGTTATTAACAAATGTGTATAACAGGAGTGCCAACCTTGGCAACTTTAAGACATGTAGATTTAAACTCACAGAATTCCCCAGCCAGCCATGCAAGTCTAACAATTGACAATGTTGGACATCCTTGTTATATATAATCTTTATTAGATGTGCTATAATTCTATTGGTCCATAGCAATTGCTGTAATAAAACAATGTGGTACTAAATAAAAATTTCTAATTGAAAACTCCTCTGTGAAATGTTCTCCATTCCTTTTTGTCTTGAACTATTGTTACTGTGGAAGATATCTGGGTATTTTCTAATTAAAGATGTAAAAATGTGAGGAATATGGTATTGACTAAAATGGTAAAAGCTATTAACTGCCCATAAGTAATTACTTCAATGAATGTATATGTGAATTGTGGAACTTTATTCTAATTAAGTGTTCTTCAGTAGCTAAAGTAACAGCAAAGTTGATTCTTATATTCAATATTCAAGTTAACTTTCTGTAAAAGCATGAAGTTATATAGTAAATATTTTATTTTATTTCAGACACTGTATTTGGCCATCAGATAGATAATTTGACTTTTATATCTTCATTTTATTTGTTTGGCAGTTTACTCTATTTTAAAATCTTGTCAAATAATTGTTTAAATTACAGTGTTTCATAGCTAACTTCAGAAGTGGGTTGCTGCTGGTTTGGCCCGGGTGGTGGCAGCAGTAGTGGCAGTGGCAGGAGGCTCCGCCCACCCACCTGGACGCTTCTGCGCATGCGCAGAAGTGTTGCACGAGCATGTGTGCGTGTACAAATGAACCTGTAATAGACCGATTAGCAGTCGACCACTGGCTAACTTGCTTCAATTTTGGCCGAGGAAATAAAAATGAATGGATAAACTATGGGCTAGAAAAGTTTTATATTAATCACAGTTTAATCAAAAAGATGAGAGAAAATTTTAACAAAACTAATATCTTAAATTCACCACAAGATGGGAAGAATAATTCTGTTGAAAGATTTTTCTGGGATTTCTTAAATATGTTACAAATTCTTAAATAAGTTACAAAACAAGTATTTGTTGCAATGTAAGATGTTAAATATTTCTGTTACAGAGTACTTTTCCAGTGGACTATAAAATATCATTGATTGATATTGGATTGGTTATAGAATACTTGATTGGTGGAGCTTATCAGAGCAGCTACACAAGAAAACATTTCAGAATTTTATGCAATAATATTTACAGGAAACATAAGGTAAACAAACGCATAATTGTATGCCATATTTTCTTACATTGTATGGGGAGCACCCTCGTTCACAGATCATCATTATTTCTTACCTACTTTATGTTTTCCTTATGCTGATTTTGTAATTCTTACCATAGGAAGCTCAAGTAATGTGGTGAGAGGCGGAAGAATCACGAAATTTCTACTCTTGTTTTAAGCGCAAATTTGACATAGACAATAAATATATGATCCTGATTAGATCAGCACACAAACAGTGTAATATTTCAGATGTGTGACTATTTATTTTATAATATGACCCAATCTACACCACAGAGTTGCAGCTGTGCGGTAAATAGGAGGGAGCACTAAGTATGCTGCTTTGAACTCCTGTACAAAAACTGAGATATAAATCTAATGAAGAAATAAAGCAGGGCTATTTTCAAAAGCTAGTTGTAAACATTGAGTTTAGCTTAAAATGTACTTCCTTGATATCCAAGAAATGTTGAAGAATTGCTGTACTGATTTTTTTGCTTAGTTTGCTTTTTTGTAAAGCAAACTAAACTCTGTATAGTTTTATAAGCACATCATTTAACTTAGTGGGTGGGAAAGGACCATTTTTCATACATGCACGCATTAATCTGAAGGACGCGGTGGCTAAGGCGCTGAGCTTGTCGATCAGAAAGGTCAGCAGTTCAGCGGTTCTAATCGCTAGTGCCGCGTAATGGAGTGAGCTCCCGTTACTTGTCGCAGCTTCTGCCAACCTAGCAGTTCAAAAGCATGTAAAATGCAAGTAGAAAAATAGGGATCACCTTGGGTGGGAAGATAACAGCATTCTGTGCACCTTGGGCATTTAGTCATGCCAGCCACATGACCACAGAGACGTCTTCGGACACTGCTGGCTCTTTGGCTTTGAAACGGAGATGAGTATCGTTCCCTAGAGTTGGGAATGACTACCACATATGTGCGAGGGGAACCTTTACATTTACCTTTATGCAATAATCAGCATTGTCATGACCAGGATATATTGCTTGTGTAACCTAGTCTTAATTAAACTCTTTCTCTCTATTTCATAATGAATCTTTAGAATCAGGAAGTTGTCTCCAGGCTGGCCCAGAACGTCTCACTTCATCAGGTTAATCAGACTGGGAGTCGAAGTGGAACTGCTGAAAATACTTTGCATTCCCAGTTTATCAGAACAGCTCAGCCATACAAATACAAAGTACTGTGAATCTTGTTTACCTGTGCAGTTTGTTAAAAGGGCATTAGACTGGAGATCCTGTTTGTTCACTTGAGAAGATGAAAGAGGCAGGCATACTGGCTTAAATTTTTCTTTCTTTAATACACTGAGACAAGGTTGAATCAGATAAGAGCTAGAAGTACTACTGGCTTTCAATACTTCTCTTGTTTTAGTCTGTGCAGTGAGAGGTAGAGAAAGATTTCAGTTATTTACTGAAATCAGATAATAGACAGAGATCATTGGGAAACACTTTAACCTGCCTGACCTAACTTAAGCTACGGAATAGACTGAGCAGCCACAACTCAAGACTTGACTGTCTTCAACAGTTCTTGTTATTATGGGCTTTTGCTAAGAGAACAAATAATTCTCAGCTCGCCTAAGTCTTTGAGAAGCTCTTCACTCATTTCCCCCCCCTGCTAGACATGTCTGATGATAGAATTAGAAATATTGCCAATTACAGAATTAAATTATAGAATTAGAATTATGGCTCATTATACTCCAGCTTATTGCTTGACCCCTGATTTATTTTCTAATGCAAAATAAATATTTCTTTAGAGTTTCTATCTGATTGCTTATCCTCATATCCCAATACAAAAACTGAAGCATAAACATGTTCCAGCAATATTTTTTATGACATGGCTTTCATCTCATTGACAGCTCACTACCGGAGTAGGTTAAAATCATCATTAACTGAACTTTAAAACTGCTCCAGTTATTAAAGTGGTGCTTACTCACTGCTCCCAACACATTTTTTTTTTGTCATGGACATGATCTATCCTACTTTATTGATATAATTGACAGAGCGTAAGACATGCCCTGTTTCTTAGCTGCGGTAAGAACAAGCCTCCTGCTCCATTCCCTCTGCACTGCTCTCCATGGCCATATTGCCTTTGGCTGCAGAGGAGACTAGGTACATGGATTCTGCAGAAGCATCAGCCCATCTAATATCTTTCCAAAGCACTAGTCATGTCTTTCATGGGCTCCTTATGAAACCTTTGGCATATTTTTAGCATTCAATCTCTTGATCAATTATTCCTTATCCCACATACAGCCATTTCACCCATTAGTCCATTTGGTGGGTCACAGATATGGTGGAAAGTGCAGAGCATGACATGGGACTCAGCCCCATGATGTTCCATGCATTCCCTTCTCTGTGCCTGCAACTATCAGGCTGGCTGGTTTTAGGCACAGTATTTTTTTTTTCAAAAGATTGCTAGACCTAAATTCAGAAATAATCCAAGCAATAGGGTCACACATCTAGAGTATTTCGGGCTTGCAACCTATTTGTCAGGCAATCTGACAGATGCCTAAAGCATAAACATGTTCCAGCATCTGTCCATTTTCCATTCAAGCATTTCCCTATATTCTCCCATTCCTGTTTCATTACATGTTAAAGAGAGTGATTGTGAGTTTTTTTAAAAAAATCATTGACAGAAAATCCTACAATTGCTTTCCTTAATCTGTTTTAGGTTAAATATATAAGGATATCAATATTCACTGGCCTCATAACTGAAGCAGAATAAGGCAACAAAATAAGCTGTTAGTCCTTACCACTTGACAGGTTTCCCTAGTTTTTAATTATAGCTGTTGAAATTGTGGTCTGGGTTGTGGACTTTGTATTTATCTGTACTTGTACATGTTTCAAATACACCTTCTCTCTGTTTAATTGCCTAGATACAAGCCAACTACAAAAGCATTAATATTAATAATTGCATACAGTTTTCTGATAGTTGTTTCATACATTGCAGCTCCATTTGTGAACTTACAATTCTCCATATAATGTTTTTAATCTTTTAAATATTACATATTCCTACTTCTGCTTCTAACTTTGTAGCTCCAAGACACAAAGCAAAGCTTAACTGAGGGGAAAAAGGTAGGAACAAAAGGCTAAAAGTTTAATGACTTATATTGACTTTTTATTCATTAACCTATAGGAAAAATCACCAAATCTCCATAAATCCAAGAAGAAGGTCAAAGATGAATTCACAGTATTTGATGACCAAGAGTCAGTTGGTTTTATTTACCCCTACAATGATCTCTTGGTTTGGGCGGTTTTGATGAAAAGGCAGAAGATGGCTATGTTCTTTTGGCAGCATGGAAAGGAAGCAATGGTCAAGGCTGTGGTAGCTTGCAAACTCTATAGGGCCATGGCACGGGAAGCCAAACAATGCAACATGGAGGATGATACAGCAGAGGAACTGAAGAAGTATTCAAAGTAAGAACTTGCCTTTCATTTCAGATAGTAATGATCTGCAGGACTTACAACGATTAGATACTTTTCTCTTGGTTGCTTATTACTGTTTTATATTAAGGCAAGTGAAATCTGATCTGAAAAATCTTTTGGCTCTGCGTACAAAGAGCTGGCTTGAAATATATGTAATCATCCCTAAACACCAATTCACATTTTTGTCTGGAATTCTTATCTCTTATGTGCATTCTTTATTTTTTATGATACTGCAGTAAATCACATTATATAAAAAACAATGTATACAAATTCTGGTTTATTTATGAACTATATTTTTATGAACTATGTTTAAGCTGATGTTTAATTTCATTATTTGAGACACTTTATTTCATGTATCTGAATAATGCCTAGTTTAAAATATATTGAATTGTTGGTATTATCCCTAAAATGAGTTATTATCTCATAGTGTTAGCGTGAAGCTTATCTCTTACCCTTATTGTTCCTATCTCTGATTCTCCTTCACTTTATCTGATTAATAGAGTCAGATAGGAAGTATAAAAGATTAAGTCTTGTTAGACATAATGGGATTAATAGCTGAGCAATTATGTGTATGATTGTAGTAAAATAGGTTTAAAAATATAGCTGGAATCTATTAAAGCTGATGAGAGTTTTACCATAAATCAGGAATAAGCATCCAAGGAATATATAAAAGCCTTGAGCCCTTTTTAATTTCCCTCCTTTGACCAAAAACACCAAGGCTATTTTCCTGGCATTTTGAAGCAGAAAACATAAAACCTATTTTAAAAACGAATTTTAAATTCTGAGACACCATGGCCCTCCCTTAACTACCGTAGTTCCCCTGTAGTTTTCATACATGTATTTGATACTAGTAAAAAGTAAATAATAATAATATTCTGAGCCTGTGATTTTCAGAATAAATTATAGAAGGATTTTGGATTTTCTGAAATAAATAGTTTAATTTAAAATTGTAGAAAAACAACAATGTTGTATATGACTGCTCTCTTAATTGCACTTGGCATAATTCTCATTCAAGAAAATGTTTAGAGTCATGTTGCACATATGATACAGAGATGTATGCAAAGCCTTGGCTACTATGATTAATTCTATTCTAACAATCACAACTCTCCTCTTCCTGCCCTATTTTATTTTGCTGTTACAGTGAGTTTGGGCAGCTTGCTCTAGATGTGTTAGATAATGCATTCAAACAAAATGAGCAGATGGCCATGAAGCTGTTGACATATGAGCTGAAGAACTGGAGTAACTCAACATGTCTGAAACTGGCTGTGTCAGTGGGTTTGAGACCTTTTGTATCTCACACATGCACCCAGATGCTGTTGACTGATATGTGGATGGGGCGTCTGAAAATGAGAAAGAATTCCTGGTGTAAGGTAAACTATTTGTTCTTTGTCTAAACCAAAAACATTTCTCCAGCCTTGGACTGGAATTATATGAAGGCTTCCTTCATTTTAGTTCAGTGGTTTTGGTTTCAAGAGAGAAAGCCCTCATTGCTGAGGTAATCTCATAGTACTGTTCACTTGTCCTGGTCTTTTCCAAGACATTATTGAGAAATTAACTGCTCCCATTACATTTTCTATTCTGTTTGACCCTCTTTTTGGTCCCTGTCAATCACTATCAATCACCTAACGTCCTTCCAACGTAATAGCTGCTAAAGCTTAATTCTTTTCATACATCTTGGTCAGTATCAGAATAGGAGGAAAAATAATTTTTTAACACCACTAAAGTTGTAGATGATCCGTTTCATTCATGGATGAGATGAAAACAAACAACATCATTGGAAAAGAGAAGATTAAAAAAAATGTATTCCAGGATATGCTTGTACCAATGCAGAATAGGGAACGTTTTTGTCAGTTTCATAATTTTGATCATGTCAGTAATGCAGTAAAGGTGAATTCCGGAACAACCACAAATCCAACATCACATGATTTTGTTACACCTAAATAGTACATGATTCGTCAGTTACTGGATTGAGGTCTACAGTATATAACTGTGAGTTCTGGACTGCAGGTGAGAACAGTAAGTGGATGTCCACATGAGGTTTATCCAGAGGAACTGCCTGAACCATCTATACATGCATCTATTCTAGGGGTGGAAAACTATAGCCTCTTTACAACCCGTCAACTTCAACTAACAGAATTCTTGAATTTTGACTCTGGAATTCTGGGAGTTGAAGTCCACAAGCCATAAAAGGAACCATAATTGTCTACATCTACACATACTTTTTCAGATTCTGGTAACACCAGGTGTCTTAAATGTCAATGTCTGATGAAGTATCAGAATCATAAAAAATGCACGAGAAAAACTGCACGTAATTTCTCTGACACAACAAACAAATAAGAACTCATTGGTAACTTATAATGCACTCTTTCCTGTTTCTCAAGCCCTGAATTGTTGGTTATCTCTTTGAAAGCATTTCCTCCTTGGATTATGGTGGGGAAGGAATGGACTCTGTACTCTTGTAACATAAAACTCATTTACGGTATGTTTCGCAGTCTCGCAGAAGCCCTTTGCCTCTGCTGCCAAAATAAACATAGATTATAACGGTCCTACATTTGATTGTTTCAGAGTAACTTTGTTTTTTTATAAGAAAATTTTATTGGATTTTTTTCATTAAAAGAAGAAAACACTAATACAAAAAATAAGATTAATAAGAATAAGTGCAGGAAGAAGGAAAAAATATATATAAAGAAGTGACAGTTTTCTTTTACAATGGTATGAGTATAAATTCAAATTCACCTCTTTCTCTAAGATATATTTTATATTTGTTTGTTTGTTTGTTTTATTTGTATCTAACCTTTATTTTTTACAAATAACTCAAGGCGGCAGACATATCCACATATCTTTCTCCTCCTATTTTCCCCACAACAACAACCCTGTGATCTGGGGTGGGCTGAGGGGAGGGGAGGAAGAGAGAGAGAAATCAGCCAGGGTGGGATTTGGAGGTTCTCCAAACCAGCCATAACGTTAGCTATGGGTTCTCCTGAACTCGGGAGAACCCGTAGCAGCCCACCCCTGTATCAGGATGATATCAACCTGTTGGCCCTTTGTAAGGCCATGAAGAGTTGGTTTTGTGTCTTTTTGTATTTTGCATTATTATAATAGTTTAATTGTTTTTATGTTTTATGATGTATGCTGGTCAGCTACTTGCTGAGATGAATGGCTATAGAAATCAATCAAATCAATCAACCAATCAATCAATAAGTAATAAATAATAAATAACAATTAATAATTAATAAATAATAAGTAATAAATAATAAATAACAATTAATAATTAATAAATAATAAGTAAATAGTAAATAAATATAAACTATACATATGTGTGCACACCCAAAACACACACACACACACACACACACACACACACACAATATATATATATCTTATCAATATATGTATGTATGTGTGTGTGTGTATATATATATATATTACACAATATATATATCTTATCAATATATCTTATCAATATATATATATATATATATATGTGTGTGTGTGTGTGTGTGTGTGTGTGTGGTTTTTGAATTGTTTTTACTTGTAGTTTTTATATCCTTTTATTGCTTTCTCTATAAATGACCATAAAAGAGGCATGCAAGTCTGATGGTTGGTATACAAATCAGCTAAATAAATAAAGCAAAGAAAGCCCAAGATAGGCACCCAGAAATCAGTTGGTTGGAACCAAAGTGCACTGAGATAAAACAGTTTATGGAACTACAGCATGATGGGCACTGCACTGGAGAGAGAGAGTGCCCATAAGAGGAAATCTGTCATATGAACAATGCTTTTCCTCCAACCCAGGTAGGAAATTTCCAGCCTCCAGACCAATCAGGATGGCAAGGAGGGCAAAAGGTTGAAACTCTGCAGTTCCTCCAACCATAACTATAATCCAGAATGATGCATCCCTGCTATTGATATTTTAAATGTTATTTTGTTATTT